ATCCCTACTAAGTCATTAATTTAACAGTTACAATAAGACCCTCCAGGGAGCAGATTTCCCATTTCATCACGTAAGGTAGTGGCCTGCTTCCTACCTCTCTTCTTTTTTACCACTTGTCACTAGAATGGAAAGCAGTAGGAAGGCAGCTCATGTAATTGGCCCATTTCCAAGCTGGGAGAAATCTGATGATAAATTAATGAAGAGAAAGCTGGTGAGAGAAACTGCTCCAGTTCACTGCTCTCATACAAAAAAGTTACTTGAAAATCACATTGAGTCTAAAGCTAACCTGCATTCTGCACTTGATATTTCCTTAGGTATATTTTTCTTCCAATTTTAGAAATTCTGAAAGAAATATGCCATGTGAACACATTCTGCACCCAACTTTAGTTTACACTGTTTCATTAGTCCCACAACTTCAACACAGAAATGAATTTTAAAAGCTTTAGGAAATGAAACTTTGGAGGCTGCTATCCAAACAAAGAAGACAAATACAGAATGAACAGCTGACTGTTGGTGTGGACTTCTGGTTAAACTAAAACTCAGAGAACAAAGTGACCCTAATGAATTAAGAAGAGCCCTAACTGGTTTGGCTCAGTGGATAGAGTGTCGGCCTGTGGACTGAAGGGTCCCAGATTCGATTCCGGTCAAGGCATGTACCTTGGTTGCGGACATCGCCAGTCGGGGGCATGCAGGAGGCGGCTGATTAATGTTTATTTCTCATCAATGTTTCTAACTCTCTATCCCTCTCCCTTCCTCTCTGTAAAAAATAAAAAAATATATATATAAAAAAAAGAAAAAAGAAGAAAAAAAGAGAATGCATAGAAGTTTGAAGAAATATTAGATCCTACGAGAGGCCTGATGCACCAGCTTCCCTCAGGCACCCGGGACCCAGGCTCCCCTCCAGCCACTGGCAGGCACCCAGGACCCCGGCTTCGTCCGGAAGGATGGCCAGTCTAATTAGCATATTACCCTTTTATTATTATAGTTAGTTCATTAAATTGGATAAGGCTTCCCCCATTAAACTGAGTTTTTAAAATGTAGGAATTGAGCCTTCCATTCCCACTGCCTGCCTCTGAGCAGTGTCTGCCAGATGAATAAATGAGTTGAAAACTAGAAGGAAACATATGCATCTCTAACACAGGAATCATAGCCTAAGGCAGAAAAAGAAATTTGAAACAGGGACCCAGCACTGTCATAAATCAACCCCTGTGAATGAAGGGACATAACATGGAAAACAATTTATCGAAACAGCCATCAGGAAGAATGTCCAGTCTAATTAGCATATTACACTTTTATTATTATAGATTCATCTGCCTCCATGAACAATTTAGTAGGAAGCCACAACAGGGCTCGTGAGAAATCTCTGAAATGATTTGTTAGCTGGCCTGAATTTTCAAGATTGAGACATACGCTATGACAACAGAAGCCGACTTGCAAAAAGTCCTTGAGTACATGTGGTTTGGGTGGGTCCAAGGTACTTCTGTGGCAGAGTTGTTTACAATGCTATTATTCAACACTAGAGGCCCGATGCACAAAATTCATGCAACAGGCTCGGCCCTCACAGCTGCCCCAGCTGCCTCATAGCCCCGCCCACTGGTCATTCAGGAAGGTTGTTCCACCAGGCGGTCTAATTAACATATTAGATATTTATTATATAGGACTAGTGTCCCAGTGCATGAAATTCATGCACGGGGGTGGGTGTCCCTCAGCCTGGCCTGCACCCTTTCCAATCTGGGACCCCTCGGGGGATGTCTGAAACTGGCAGTCGGACATCCCTCTCGCAATCTGGGACCGCTGGCTCCTAACCACTCACCTGCCTGCCTGCCTGATCACCCCTAGCCCCTCTGCCTGCCGGCCTGATCAACCCCAACTGCCCCCCCTTCTGTCCTGATCACCCCTAACTGCCCACCCCTGCTGGACTGATCACCCCCAATTGTCCCCTCGCTGGCCTGCTCGCCCCCAACTGCCCTCCCCTGCCGGCCTGATCACCCCTAACCACCTCTGCCTCGGCCCCGCCACCATGGCTTTGCCCAGAAGGAAGTCTGGAAGATCTCCCAGAAGGTCTCCTAGTCTAATTAGCATATTATCCTTTTATTAGTATAGATTGGTAGACTCTACCAAGTAAAATGCTCTACACACCTTAAGACAGCTACTTTAATAAAGCTGAGCCTGATATGGGGAGTACTAACAGAAACATGGCTATGCTGGTTTTCCTGACTTAAAAACCATGTTAAAAATATCTTATGGCACCCAGAGACTTGTAAAAGTATGCTTGGAGCAGCTCTATTCAAAACAACAAGGTCTATTAACAGTGGAATGGACAATAGTGCTGTTCTTGTACCTAGAACACTCTAGAGTTGTGCTGTCCAATAAGGTAGTCACTAGCCACATGTGGCTATTGAGAACTTGCAATGTGACTATAGTGTGATTTAAGATGTGCTGAAAGTGTAAAACAGACACCAGATTTCAAAGACTTTACCCTTTCAAAGAAAAAAGGGTAAAATATATCAATATTTATGTGGAATTGATACTTATGAATATTGTGATATTAATATGAAGATGTTGACTCAATATTTTGGATATACTGAGATAAATAAAACCCATATTAAAATTAATTTTACTTGTTTAGTTTTAAATGAGGCTACTAGAATAGTTCAAATTACACATGTGGCTCTTATATTTCTAATGGACAGTGCTGAGAGTGGCCAATTTGTTGGCCTGGGTGTTAGTTTGCTTTGTTAATCTGCAATTTATATTTTATGCATTTTTCTTTGTGTTATATCTCACAATTTAAAGTTTTTAAGAAATGATCTCCAACTGCTTTCCTTAAACATTTATATTTGCTATATACCAAGTAATGACTTTGAAGAAAACCTAAAGCAATAGGGTTGAGTGACTGGCCCTGTATCTCAAATCAATACAACTAAAGAAATATAAAAATGTTAGGCCCCTAAACTGCTTACTCAAGACTGTCACAGTCTTCAGCATGTTTTTTTAAAACTTTCAGAAATTATGTTTAAATGTTTTAAAAGCACAGCAACCTATAATTTAACAATATTATTTATCCTATCCTAATGTAGTATATATGAAATAGGTGATATGTCTATTTGTGAAAAGTTGTGCATATATTCTTGTGAGCCAACGTATTTGCAATGCACAAAATAAATAGCTGGTACATATGTTTACAAATAAATGAAATCACATGCTCAATGTACGAAAGAAAACCTTTTGGAGATGTCTTATTCATGATAGCTATATCCTAATCTCTCTATAAATAAGTTGCAATATTTTTCTAAAAATAATTTATTTTCTTACTTTGAGGCATTCTGTCACAAACTTTCTGCCTTGGAAAATAAATTTTTAAAGAAAACAGAAAAAAAAATTCTGAACATGCAGAAGTCAGTTTACCGATAATAGTTGACATGGGTAAATAAAATGGTTAAATAAGTGTTTTCCACAACTAATATCTAGTATTTGATGAAATTTTACCAAATATAAAAGCCAAGCTTTAACAAATGAAATATTTTTCTAAGCATAAAAGGCTATGTGGTAGCTAGTAAAATGCACAAAACGGAATTGTTTTTTTTTCTTGTTTTTTTTTTCTTCTCTGTCCTCTCCCAGCAGGCTGACTGGGTCTGGGGCTGAGGGCCGCCTCCCCCTCTGACCTCTTCAGGTAATTCCAGCCCACTTGTTGCACCTCCTCAAGGGAGCTGCTTCTCACTGTGAATTGAAGCCCATTGGAAAGCAGGGTCCTGGTCTCAAATGAAAGCCCTAAAGCAGAACACCGTCGGGATCAAGTGCAACCTTGAGAGCCCCAATCCCCTCTCCGAGGTTCTGGCCCTTTCCAAGGACAATTCAAAACGAGCGAGGCAGCAACAAATAGTTTTATTGTTACTCTCATTTGGAATTCAGAGACCTGGAGCAGCCCAGCAACCTGGGGGGGCGGGGGGAGGGGCAAGGTCAGACCCCTTGAACCCCTTCCCTTGGCCTCCCTAACCTCCACCAGCAGTTGGGGAAAACCCGCCGGTGCCCTTTGACTCAGGGGTCATGGGCTGAAAGACTTGGACCTCACACACACCCTGGCCCAAGGCTTACTGGAGTTAAAGCAGTGGCACATTTCAGTGGAGAACTACCCTTCCATATTTCCCAGTCATCCTTGGGCTGTCCCAGGCTGGACCATGAGGAGGGAAGGGGCAATAAACCCACCCACCCTACTCCAGGGCCCCAGGGTGCCTGATACCCAGAGGCTGTGCTCTTAACCATTTGTGGAATTAAAATATGTAGAATGAAAAGGTTACACCCACCATTCCCTGCGGCTAGAATATAAATTCCTAGGAACAGATAAATCTAGTAATTTTTTATAGCTAACAAAAGCTTCAATCACTTTATTTTTTAAAAACCTGATTTTTACCACTTTGACATTTTATATAAGCCAACTAACTTATAGCTATGGACCAGCTCTAACGAAAGTCTGCTTCCATACCTGTGAGAATTGAGAATTAATTTCCAGGTGGCTATTTCATGATTACCCAAAAAAGAGAATAGCCAGCCACCTCGAACCCCAGGAGCCTCCTGAAAACTGAATTGTTTTAAAATGCAAAACAAACTTAGGCCTGGCCAGCATGGCTCAGTGGTTGAACGTTGGCCTATGGTCACGGTTCGATTCCTGGTCAGGGCACATGCCTGGGTTGTGGGCTCAACCCCCAGTTGGGGAGGCACACAGGAGGCAGCTGATCAATGATTCTCATCAAGGCTGTGTGCAGCGAGCCTGGGCATACACTCCCCGCAGCAGGTACGGACCCTGCACTCCAAGCTGCTAATCCCCCGCGCACACACACACACACACACACACACACACACACACTTACAATTCTCTCCGCTATCTAATAAGAGCAATGCTGATGATCTAACTCACATTTAATTCATTTTTATGAAGAGTTGAACTTATATAAAACAAAAAGAGTCCAGAAGAAATCTACAGAATGAATAGCTATACTCACCATGGACTTGGTTAATTTCCGAATTCTGGGATAGAATTTCATCTGCTAATTTCTGAGCAGTTGGCAAAACTTCTGTGTGGTGCACTGTGATCAAATACTGTACAAACTTTTGTAGTTGGTCTCTATTCATTTGAAAGAGAGTTTCTGAAATGGGAAGATGTAATTTGACCTGATCTGGCTTGCGAATGCGGTATAAAGACAGTGCCACAACATGGGCACAATAAAATATGTCCTTGTTTCCACAGCTGCAGGTCACTGAGGTAATCTTGCAACGATCAAAGCTGATGGCCACGTTGCAAACAGTTTCTGGCTCCGATTGTATTGCAGGTTCTGTTACTGTGCCACTCAAGTGGAAACCTAAATGAAAGAAAGGGAGGAGAGACTTTAGCTTCTGTATTCAAATGCTATGAAATATTCTAATTCTTTGAAATGTGTAGTACTTCATGGCAGCAAGAAACAAACATGACAGCTTTTATTTTCAAGTAAATACATTCAGGCCACTCAAACCCACCCTACACCTACTCCCACATCTTAAAGGTAAAAAAATAAATGGTACTTAAGAGACATCTGAAATATTTTACAGAGCCATATGAAAGCACTTATTGCATATATCACTGTAGAAAATAGATTACAGAACTAATAAGCCATCATTACTCTACTCCGAATCTATGGAATACTGGATAAAAATTCCCTAGATCAGTGGTGTTCTTCCTTTTTAACTTTTTTAAGTAGAGTAGGCCAGCTCAGCTTTCTTCTCAACAAACTCCTTTCCCTCCATCTTTATTCTAGGCAGTCACTAGTCTCCTTCAACCAACTCTGTAACTCTGAGGAGGTTTCCTTTCACAGTGACCAGAAAAAAAGTTTTAATTAATAATCCTTTCTATAACATGCATACATATCCCCCAATATAGCAATATAAGTGTCTGCTGATGGAACTGCAAAGCCCAACAAATCTCATGCATACCATACCTAATAACGACTATTTTCTTTCACATTATAGAGTTAAAGCTGGTACAGAAGTTGTTAAATACTCATGCTTGAGTGCGCGCATAAAAAAATCACCAAGTGGCAAGGGGCCTTAGAGGCCTTGTATCTTAAACTTAGAACCACACAGGAATCCTCCACAATCTCCCAGATGGACAGCCACGTGGACACTGCTAATAATGGTCCAGAGATGAGACATTTACCCCACACAGGCAACAATTCCCCCTTGGAGAGCCATAGCTACAGCTTACAGTCAACTAAAAACTGCCTTCCATCAGCACTGTCACCTGTCAGTCCTGGCCTGTTTGGCCAGGGGACAATTCCTCCTCATGCCTCTTCCCTTACTGTGTTTGGAAGGTTATCCTAAATTTTATTTTGTACAGCCAATTAGTTCCATCTTCCCTCCCTGAAAGCCACATTCAGAGGCCAGGGATAAACCTTAAGGGTATGGGACCCGTTTAGGAACTCCAGGTCACATTACCTAAGGAATCAAGTGCCTGGCAGAAACTTGAAGTTACAAAATAAAGCCCTTGCTCGCTCTCAGCCTTCCACTACCTATACTACTTGAATAAAATCCACTGAGCCCGCCACCATTCCTTTAGATTCCCCTTTATTCACAAAGGTTCTTCACCAGGTGGGAACTCTGGGGAGCTGCAGAGATGTGACATGAGAATGGTGGCCAGATGACACCTAGAGTTCAATGTGGGGCATCTGAACTCCGCTTACTGCCTTCTTCAAGGAAGGGTAATTAAGCCAAGATGTACTGTAAACCTACAATAACTAAAAATCCACGTGACAGGCACAAATAAGACAAAAAAATCAATGGATCATAAGAGCAAATTCAAAAAAGTTTCCAAGGGCAGCAGCGGAGACCGCGCCATTTTGGGCGATTGTTGCCAGCATCCAGAGACCAGCTACTAACCTGGAAACAAGGGATCTCAAGCAGCGTGACTGCGTCAACTCAGACAAGCACTGCTTCTTCTCACGGAAAGCACAGCAGAGAGAGAGCTTCATAACCAAACACCTTGAGAAGAGAAACCATGGTGAAACAAAAAACCAACCCAAATATGAAAGAAAAACAGGCATCATCAGAAAAGGAAGTGAACGAAATGGAGGCAATGGAGGCAAGAAACCTGTCAGAGAAAGAATACAGAGAAATGGCCATAAGGTGGCTGAAAAGAATGGAAGACCAATTCAACAATATG